TTAAAACTTGACAGTAAGTTTTTAACAGTGTTCCTCTAATCTGACAGTTCATATCATTTTTCATTTCACCACTGCCATAGAAAACTTTTCACCTACAAAGTCAGATAGTTGCATGCTTGAAACCCAGGTTGGTTTCAAAACTTACTGTAATTGAAATTCTTCTATCAGTTTCTGCTTGATTTGAAAGCATAATATATTCTATCTTTACCATAGGTTCTACTGATAAAAAATTATCAAAAAATGAGGAAATATATGTGAAAGCAAAATATATGTGAAAGCACTGTCTAAATATAAAATTATTACAATAGATGGGAGGGACTATATGGTTTAAAAAGGTTTGTAATTGTGTTTCTGGTTTAACATATGTAATTCTTAATGTAAACCATTAGATGCATTTCCTTTAAAATCAGAAATAAGACAAAAAAAATGTCTTACCATTGCTTCACTTTCACACTATACTTGAATTTGTGGTCAGTGTGATAAGACAAGAAAAGAATAAGGTTTGGGGGGGGGGGGGAACCGGAGAGGGTGGGGAGATGGGAAGGAATGGTAAGGGGAAACAAAGGAGGAGGCAACAGTGCTTGATAAGAAATGTACTCATGACCTTGCCCATGTAATTGTAACCCCTCTGTATGGTATTTTCACAATAAAAAAAGAATAAGGCTTGGTAAAGAAAATGCAGGACCATCCTTATTTATAGACTTTAGGACAAAGTGGTAGATATAAGACCAAAGTATTATTAGTATTTATTTGGTTCTGTTTAGTAATTCCAGCAATTCACACTGGATCCAAAATCAATGGAAAGTGGCTACAGAATCTTGAGAAAAATATTTAATCCTATATTTCTTAAAATTATAAAATTCTATTTGTGAATCATATAAACAACAACTAATGTTTTCTGGTCTAATCACCAATCTAAGTTAGTATAACAGAAAGAGAAATCATTAAGTATAAATGGTAGAATCCTAGAAAATTTTCCAATAGTGAGAGAGAGGGAGAGAGAGGGAGAGAAAGTAAGAGAGAGATCTGCTGACCTATATTATCAAAGACTATAGTAAAATTATTTTATGTATAAAAATAATATATAAATGTATTGAAGATCAAACTCAGGCTTTGTGTATGCTAGGAAAGCACTCTTCCATTAAGCTACATAGCTAGCAACTCTAAAATAATGAAGTAATTTAATTCTATATATTCTTTACTCAGAAAGGGTAAAGTTGAGGTCTAAAATTCTAAAATCCTAAATCAGGTCATGAGGATTGCAGTTTAATACTATCTCAGGCAAAGGAATTTTCAAAACCCTGTCTTAAAAGAAAAACCTGGGTGTAGTGATCAGTGTGTCACCTGGTTGTGGCATGAAGTCTAAATAAGAGGTCTGCAGTCTAGGCTGCCCTGGGCAAAAAACAAGACTTATTCTTAAAAATATCCACGTCAGCCAGGCACTGGTGACTCATGCCTGTAATCCTAAATCAGCCTCAGCAGGAATGTCTGTTAGACTTTTCTCCAATTAACTGCCCAAAAGCCAGAAGTCGAGCTGTGACTCAAGTGGCAAAGCACTAACTAGTCTTGAATGAAGAAGAAACAGCCTCCAGACTCTGAGTTGAAGCCTAAGTATCAACATGTGTATGCATGGGTGCACATGCATGCACATATGTGCACACAGACCAGAAAGGACTAGAGCTGAGGCTGAAGGGGTAGAGCATCTGTCTAACAAGGAGGAAGTCCTGAGTTCAAATCCTAGACCCTGCAAGAACAATATGTTATTCTAATACTGTAAGCTAGATCCATCTATATAAACTTAGAAACAATCAGCTTCCTTATGATTTTTCATATAATCCAAAAGCTGAGTTTACGTTGAATTAAAAAATGGTAGAAAAAATCTTAATATAACTTTTCCCTTTAATGAGCATATATACGTATATGCTTGTAACCTTCTTTGTAATGTTCCACGTTGTTGTGCTTTTTTGTATTGCGGACTATTGGGGAATTGAACTCACAGCTTCACACTTATTAGACAAGTGTCTACTATTTGAACCACGCCCCCAGTAATTAAACATTTTTAGCTTGATTTTTCCAACAGGGTTTCATACTTTTTCCTAAGCCAGCCTCAGACTGAGATCCTCCTGTCTGCTACCTCCTAGGTAGATGGGACTAAAGATATAAACCACCATTCCTGGTTTTGCTTTTTTTTTTTTTTTTGTCATTATTGGGCTTGAACTCTGGGTCTGGACGCTCTCCTCAGCTCTTCAGCTCAAGGAAAGCACTCTACTACTTGAACCACAGCACCACTTCCAGTATTCTAGTGGTTTATTGAAGATAAGATTGTTTCTAACACATTTATAAGATTATTTCCTTGTTGCTTTGTATGTCCCTCCCTCACTGTATAACCCCTGCTTTCACTGTATTTGATGTCGGTATAATTTGTGGAGGGGAAGGGGAAAAACAAATCGTTTAAATAGGGATGCAGGTGGACCCATTGAAACATTGAGGGGTACAAGTAGTTATGTCGAAAACGAACTTTACAATTTTCGGGGGTGGGGAGCAGGGGGAGGATGGGAAGGAATGGGAAGGGGAAACAAAGGAGGAGGCTACAATGCTTGATAAGAAATGTACTCATTATCTTGCCCATGTAATTGTAGCTCCACTGTACAGTATTTTCACAATTAAAAAAAATAAAATTAAAAAAAGAGTCTCACGGACTTTCCTGCCCAGGCTGGCTTTGAACCACGATCCTCAGATCTCAGCCTCCTGAGTAGCTAGGATGACAGGTGTGAGCCACCAGCACCCAGCCTGGTTTTGCATTTTTTAAAAAACTCAATGATATATCATCTTCCAGAGACTGCTTTATGCTCAGATTTTAAGTTATTGATGTGTTTCTACATCTAAATAATATATACATGTACTTAAGATCAAATTCAGGCTTTGTGCATGCTGGAAGGGCCCTCTGCCAATAGTTACATAGCCAGCACCTCTAAAATAGATTTCCAATCCGTTATCTATTTATAATACTCAAAACCTATTAGATTATAAAACGAGAAGCAAGGGGAGGAAGTGGGAAGAGGGCAAGACTGCCACCTTAAAAGAAGCATTTTAATGAAAGATGTGCCATTTGCAAAATTAAACAACTGTACTTTGTTAGCATATGTAGGCGAGTGCTTTTACGGGTGTTTTAATTTTTAAACAGTAAATATAAAATGAAATAGATTTTTGAGCATACTTCAGACTACCTATTGGCACATTTTTACTACTCCTTAAAAAACTAAACTTGAGTCAGGAGCTTATGCCTCAGGCTTGTAATCCTTACTAGTCAGAAGGCTCAGATTCAGAAAATCTTGATTTGAAGCCAGCCTGGAGGAGGAAAGTCTGTGAGACTCGATCTCAAAAAGCAGGGCTTCTAGACACAGGTGGCCCAAGAATCCTTGTTACTCAGGAGGCTGACCTCAGGGTCACAGTTTAAAGCCAGATGGGGCAGGAAAGTCTGTGAGTCTCTTATTTAATTCTCTAACAAAAAGCCAAAAGTATAGTTGTGGTTCAAATGTTTGAGGCACTAGCCTTGAGTAAAAACGCTCAGGGACAGGACCTAAGTCCAGATTTCAAGACTTTAAGACTGGCACACACACATACACAAAAAAGTGGTAGAGGCGCTGAGAAGGTGGCTCAGTGGTAGAGCACTTGCCTTGCATGTCTGAGGCCCTGGGTTCAATTCCTCAGCACCACATAAGCAAAAAGAAAAAAAAAAGCTGGAAGTGGTGCTGTGGCTCAAGTGGTAGAGCACTAGCCTTGAGCTGAAGCGCTGAGGGACAGCGCCTAGGCCCACAGTTCAGGCCCCACGACCGGAAAAAAAAAAAAAAAAAAGTGGTAGAGTACCAGCTGAGTAAGTAAGCTCAAAGCCCTGACTTCAAACTCTGGTATAGCAAATAAAAAAACAAAAAGGTTACTTTGAATAATTATTTAAATAATTCAATAATTTAATAAATATAAATAAAAAAGATTTTATTGGCTATTTGGGTACTGATCACCTAAGATAAAGCAGCAAATAGTTGTACTGTTTGCTTTCTCTACATTATGATAGAATGTTTGTATGGTTCATTATTTATTAACAATCTCTTCTAGAATTGTAAGAAAAGAATGAGCATTCATTCCTACATTGCTGATCTAACTTTTTGAGAAGCTAATAACTTGTTGGCTAGTCTTTTGACAGTTGACAGAATCTTTTGTATCTAAAAAAGTATTGCAAATCAAGAAGCAGTTTTTTTTCTATGAGTACTAATAACCTGAGAGAAGATTCAAAATAACATGAAAACTGCACAAAGATGTATCAAGTGACACAAATCAGAGTATATGGACAGTATCAGAAAACCTGCTGGTATTCAACAGCAGGCCCCACAAGGATTCGAACACATGCCTCTTGTCCAAAAACTAAGATAAATGCCACATTATCTTTACATAGGATCCGTCATCTGGGACTCCTCAACATTTGCAACCTGGCCTGAGAGGACCTTATTGTCTTCTTCTGTTAGCAGGAGAGCAAACTTAGGCTACAGTATGTCATGCCTCCTTTGAAAAAGTCAGAAAAGCCAGATACCAGTGGCTAATGCCTATAATCCTAGCTACTTGGGAGGCTGAGATCTGAGGATTACAGTTCAAAACCAGTCCAGGCAGGACAGTCCATGAGACTCTTATCTCCAAAAGCCCACCAGAAAACTATAAGTGACACTGTGGCTCAAGTGGTAGAGCACCAGCTTTGAGCTGAAGAGCTCAGAGACAGCACCAGGCCCACAGTTCAATCCCCTCAACCAACAACAACAACAACAAAACAGAAAAAGAAAACGGCAGAAAAAAGGCCACAAGGCAGGCTCTGATAGTGCATGAGCAAGACAAAAATACAGAATAGTTCTAGAAAGACATGAAGACAGAAAGAAAACCTAAAAAATTTTAAGATGTGTTCCAAAAATATAGCACTAGAAATCAGCTAGAAAAAGTGAGGCTGAGGCTACTACCTTGCAGATCTTGTAGAGTGATTCCTGACCATCTCCACCAGTATCTTTGAAGTAATCATGTGCAGGAAATGTCCGGTGAATATCTCGAGTAATAACACTCTCCTGGGCTGAGTCCTAAAAGAAAAAGCAAATCTGACTTAGTTATCAACGTAAACTTTCTTTTCAATTATGAAAAATAACAGTTCTACATTGTAATAATTTCAAACAGCACAAAAATATATAACTGAAAAAAAAAAAACTTCCCTTCTAATCCAGACTCACAGACTACTCCCCAGGGATAAGTGCCATCAATAAATTTTATGACCTCACAGCAAAGATATATGTGTATATATCTATGTTTACATGAAAGGGAAAGGAGGGAGGAAATTTATTTATATAAATTTCCATCGAAACAAACTCTCTGACCCTTTCAATTAATAAAGTTATAGCATATTTCTTTACTAAATCATACAAATTATTTTATTCTCTTTAGAAGTGGTTATGAAAAAGAATGACATAATCTGAATATAAACATATCAAGATTTATTTAATATTCTATTGATCATATCTTTTACATTTTATTCTCTTTAAACAGTAACATAAGGAACATTTTTATACATATGTCTTCCAAATATGTTCAAGAATAGATTCCTGCAAGCAAAACTACAAGGACATGATGAACATATGCATTTTCAAGTTTTGATAGAAATTTTCTAGTTGTCACACCAAAATATACTTTAATATACTTTATATACCTTATTATTTTTGGAAATATAAGTGAAAAACTCAGACCAAAACCATTTAAATAATAAAAAGATGCTGCGTATGGTGACTCACACTTGTAACCCTAGCTACTCAGGAGGTTAGCAAGACCCTTATCTCAATCAATAAAAGCTGAACACAATGATACAATCTTGTCATCATAACTACAGAAAAAGAATAACCAAGTATTGTGGTCCAGACTGGCCAGGGCATAAAAATATGCCCTACTTGAGAGGTAACTAAAGCAAAGAAAGCTCAAGCGTTAGAGTGATTGACTGCTTACGCAAGCACAAGCCCTTTAATTCAAACTTCATTATTCACTCCTCCAAAAAGAATAAAAATACTATCTTCTCCGCCCCTCCTTCCAACTAGGTTAATTATCCAGTCTACAAAACAGAAAGCTATAAGCTACTTTATTAATGTGACATATACTTTAAACATAAATTCTGAGGTCTTTCTAAGACAGATTCAGGAACCAAAGTCTCAATTTAAGTTATAAACCTTATTAAAATGATTACTTATTCACTTGATTTAATTTTATTCCTGGAAATGTTTATTTGTATCTAAATGCTAAGAAAATAGGATAGAACTACTTTGAGCCACTCTGAAGATGGAAATATTTTGTACAATTCATTGAAGCATCAAAGACTACTAATTGCAAATTAAAAGTATTGTTCAATGTCTTGCTTCTGTTCAAACTGAACAAATTCCAACTTATAGGCTCAAATGAAGAAAGAAAGATGTTTAATATATGAGTTACTTTAGTGAGTGCTGCTTTCTTTTCTCTTTGCAGCTAAGTATACAAGAAGAAGCAGGCAGCTGACTAGCACTCAGTTAAGCCAATACTTTCTCTTGCTGCTTTTTTCATTTGATTCTTACTTCAAGCTGGGTGATAATTAGATCTTATATCATGCAGAGGAAGAAAAGAAGCAAACTGAAAAGTTCTAAATAATCTAGCAAATATAGAATATATAAATCAGTTTAGGAGAAATTCTGATGGTTTGTAACAATGGAATACTAATGCTGAACAACAAGGGAGCATTCAACAATTTTTAAATACCTTAAGTAATAGATACAGAGAAAAATTTGTCAAGGTAAATACATTTTGATAAAGAAAATTTGGGTTTGAGGGTTGTCTAAAGCATTCCATACTGTATCAATCCTGTACTGTATACATTCCACAAATACGTGAGTCAAAAAATCACCAATCAGAAGTGGCTCTGTGACTCAAGCACAAAAAGGCTCAGAGACAGCACTCAGACCTTAAATTCAAGCCCCACCCAGGCGCCGGTGGCTCACGCCTGTAATCCTAGCTACTCAGGAGGCTGAGATCTGTGGATCGTGGTTCAAAGCCAGCTGGGCAGGAAAGTCCGTGAAACCAGAAAACCAGAAGTGGCACTGTAGCTCAAGTGGTAGAGCACTAGGTTTGAGCTGAAGAGCTGAGGGACAGCGATCAGGCCCAGAGTTCAAGCCCCACGACTGACCAAAAAAAAAAATTCAAGCCCCATACCAGACCAAAAAAAAAAAAATCACCAAACTACTATTTCTCTTTTTTCTAAAGGACAAAGCAATATTCTCTTCAAAATAATTCCTTTCTCTTCAGAATTATTCTGATTATATTGATCAATTTTTAGAAAAAATAAAATGAACACCAAGGACAAAAACAAGTCTAACAAATCACCATCTAAGTATCTGTAAGGAGCTTCCTATGAAAAATACTTATTTGGGGCTCAGCTTGGTGACACAATCCTGTAATTCCACTTACTCTGGAGGCAGAAAGCAAAGAACACCTGTCTGAGACTAGCCTAGGCAAAAGCACTAGACCCTATCTGAAAGGAAAACTAAAAGATAAAAGGTCTGGACTGTGACTCAGGTGGTAAAAATGCTGGCCTAGCCAACTCAAAACCCTGAGATTAATCCTCAATCCTACTAAAAAGTGTGTGTGTGTGTGTGTGTGTGTGTGTGTGCGCGCGCGTGCGTGTGTGTGTGTGTGTGTGCGCGCGCGCGCGCCTTTCCCAGAACAATCAAAACTGAGAAAACTGAGATAGGTTTTCTGAGAACCCTCCCATAAGTAAGACTTCCCTAAGTCTTGGCAGTTCTCTCCATGAGAAGAGACAGTTATTCCTTCCTGGGCATCTCTTTCATCAATGCCCAGTATGAAAACTTAACCTGTAAATTACTCCTTAGTAGTTAGATGTCTCAGTCTGCTCCTCAGAGCTCAATACAGTGGTTTAATACTTTGTAGCCAGGCAAACTCACTGGGTCAATTTACCATTTTTCATTTAATATCTACAGGATATCAGACTATTAAATTTTGTTAAACATCAGTTTCCTTATTTTTAAAATGGAATATCAAATGAATAGCCTTATTAGAATAAAATAATGTATATAAATTGTTCAGTACATTACCTAGTATAAACTGAATACTCATTATTTCACTGTTCAAATTTTTTGTTAAATTAACATTTCAGACATTTTGTAGTACTTAAAATATACAAGTATAATACAGCTGGGGCACTGGTAGCTCACACTTGTAATCCTAGTTACTCAGGAATGTGAGATCTGAGGACTGCAGTTGGAAACGAGCCCACAGGCAGGAAAGTTCATGATATTCTCATCTCTAACTAATCACCAAAGAAATCCAGAAGTGTCTCAAGTAGTAGAGCACTACCCTTGAACAAAACAAAACAAAATAGCTCAGAGACAGGGCCCAGGCCCTAAATGAGAAAAAAAGAATAATTGTTTTTCTTTTCTTTTCTTTTTGTAATTGCTATCATAAAGGTGATGTATAGAAGGGCAGAGAGGTTATAGTTACATAAGTCAGGTAAAGAGTACATTTCTTTTTGGACAATATGTAATTATTTTCTTTGTGTATTAGAAACATTATGATTATTTAGCCAATTATCTAGATTCTGTGGAATCACGATGTACATATGTACACAAGCACGCGCGCGCACGCGCGCGCACACACACACACACACACACACATACACACACACACACACACACTCCCTGTTCTCAATTACCAATTGTGGTTCTTATATGTCCTAAACTATCGTTGCTTCTAATATAAGTAAAAGTGAGAAATTACTTGAATAAAGTACTATTTTTATCAACTTATCAGGCTCTGACTCCAGACTTTCACATTCCCTATATCCCACAGAGAAAAGATCTGCACAAATATACTCAGAAGGCGGATGAAAAGAACAAGGGAAGATAGCCACTACATTTGCCAGAGCACACATTTCCATCATTACTTTAGAATTTAGCTTCTAAGGATCAGAGAAGAGCTGAAGACGAGGTTATGAAAAAGTCAAATGCCACTGTCACAACTGCATATCTGCATCACCATCAAGAATGTAACTTATAGGCAAAGTTCTTGAGATCATACTTTCTCCTGCCATAGCAAGTTCAGTCATACTCAACAGCTCCCTTTAGACAATAAAGTAATGAAAATCTGTAACACAGATTGAAAAGTTGAATTTTTCCCACATATTCTGGAACCTATTACCATGTAGAAACAAAGTCACAATTCTCTTAAATATCTAAAACAATTAAAAAAACTAAACCTTCCTTGAAAAAAATGACTATAATCTCTAGTGGACAAAATCCATGGTCCAACAGAGGATATAATTGATTTGCTGCTGTTCGGTTTTAAATCAACTCTAAAAGGTATGTTAAGGAGCTTAATTGTTTTTTGATCATTTTACATTTCAAGCTAGCTGTCAAGAGTATCACAGGAGTTATACCAGTACAACTATGACATGTTTGTAATTCTCTTAATTCCTACTAGAAGAGAATCATCAGTGACTTGCTTGTAGTGAAAAAGAAATGAATGCAACATTCAAGTGTCAACAAGTATTAGGAAGACAGATTTGGAAGACCATAGCCTGTTATTTTTATGAAACCATTTCTGGGATGTCAGAAAGGAGAAAGGTATTTTGGTGAGAATTATTACTATTTTACTATATGACCTTAGCTACAGCAGAAGTATAAAATATTCTGACAAATGAACACCTTGTCTCTACCTTGACTTGACATATTTTTAAATGTGTAACAGTACCTTTTCTTATTAATCTTTATCTTCAGATCCACAAAGCATAAGCTGAATTTTAACTTTTAACTACCACAAACAATTCAACTTCGTAAATATCATGCCAACTGTTAAAGTCATGGAAATGCCGATGTAGATCATCGGTAGCCACAAAAGGCAGATAAATGACTCAAACCTAAACTTTTTTTTTCAAACTTAGAATATGCCTTCTCTTCTTACTCCATGGGGATCTTCCTTTAGTTCTATGTTGGATGATAAAACATCACAAACTGGTATGCTTACATGCCCCTGAAAGCAGATGGGCTTGCAGTGATGGGTC